CATCACCATCCTCCATCTCCATCACCACCCTCCATCTTCATCACCATCCTCCATCTCCATCACCATCCTCCATCCACATCACCATCCTCCATCTCCATCTCCATCCTCCATTTCCATCTCCATCACCATCCTCCATCTCCATCACCATCCTCCATCTCCATCACCATCCTCCATTCTCCATCTCCATCACTCCCCTCTATCTTTCAGTTGCCACCTCTGTCCCCCGTCTTTATCCTTGCTCTGCATCCTGCACCCTCATCTTCATCTGCCTCCTGTATTTCTCCATGCCTCATCTGTATTACCCTCCTTCATCTCCAGACCCCATTTCCCATTTCTTTGAGAATAACCCATTGATAGCTTCCTTGGAGCCATGTTAGCTGTAAGAGGGAGTTTTGAGACACCTAAACTTTAAAATAAATGACCTGGTTTGCACAGACATTGTTGTTATTTATCCTTGAATGACTGTGTGCTTACGTGGGTATGCCAGTGGAAGGCAGAAGATGCCGAGAACTCATCAGATAGGTCAGGCGGACTAACCAGTGAGCCTGGGATCTGCCTTCCTCTGCTTCCTCAACTCTGGGCTTCCAAGTTCAGCCTACCACACCCAGCTTTTTTCTTAAGTAGGTTCCGGGGATTGAACTCAAAACTTCAAGCTTGCACAGCAGACATTACAAACTGAGCCATCTCCTCGGCCCTGTGCATATTCTTTGTGTAATCTGTAGTTAGCACTCTCTTGATGATTTTTCATAACTTTTATATAAACACACCAGTTACTTTTCAAGGCACGTCTTTTCGTCTTGTACGTTATTTAAATGAGTGAATAAAAGTGAACACAACTGCAAAGAGCCCCAGATCTCCACAGAGCACGTCTGGGCCACAGTGGAGGCAGGATGGAGGTCTGGGGCCTCGGTTTTTTTGTCACTCCCAGGATGCTGGTTTTCTTGGTGGCTCACTGAGCGTGGCCCCAGCCTTGTGCTCTCGGAAGCCGTGGGGGAGGCCGCTCCGAGCTGTGACCGGCGGGGGCACACTTCGCCTTTGGGAGCTGACCGTGTGTCTCTGTCCCCTGCAGACCCGACTCTGTGGAGCACGGACCACGTCCGCCAGTGGCTGGAGTGGGCGGTGAAGGAGTACAGCCTCCTGGACGTGGACGTCCTGTTATTCCAGAATATCGACGGGAAGGAGCTGTGCAAGATGACCAAAGAGGACTTCCAGAGGCTCACCCCGAGCTACAATGCCGACATCCTTCTCTCTCACCTCCACTACCTCAGAGAGAGTAAGCTGCCTGCCCTCAGGGACGCTGGCTGCTGCTGAGGGTGCACGTCCAGCCTCGGGGGCCTCAGATGGGGCCTCAGCCTCGGGGCCCAGACAGGGTGGTCCCCAGCCTCAGGGGGCTCAGAGGGATGGTCCCCAGCATCTGCTGCCCTCAAGGCCTGTGTGTGACCTGAGGGGACCACACAGTGATACCTCACGGTGTGGGTGAACCGTGCAGTCTCTCCTTCCCCCTCCTGGTTCCAAGGACCAGGATGGGGTGTTGCAGAGAAGCGGCCACACTCACTGGATTCCATGATGTTCCAAACAGGAAGGTGGCGGAAAGGCCCCCCCTGGGGGGAAGTGGGTGGTGGGAAGCCCTCCTGCCGTCCAGCATATGCGCCATGTTGATCGCAGGGGCCAGAGCCTGAAGGACTGCTGGGCCCCTCATCTGACAACCCGAGCCTGGGCTGGGCAGGCGCAGCAGCGGGGGGGGGGGGGAGGCTCTCCGGTGGCCTTGCCTGACCTCCTGCACACCTCTCTCCTGTGCGGGTCTCTGCTATTTGACCTACTAGCCGGAGGATGTAGATGTTTCCCACAGCCCTGCGTCAGGGCGGGGAGCTGGGGATCCCCTTCTTGATTCTGCTTGCTTTCAGGAAGGTCGCTTTCCCCCTCTCCACCTCAGTGCTGCTCTGTTTTCTTTTGTAGCTCCCCTTCCACATTTGACTTCCGATGACGTTGACAAGGCTTTGCAAAACTCGCCACGGTTAATGCATGCGAGAAACACAGGTAATGCCGGCCCCTTCCCACCCCAGGACGGCACGCTGCATGGCGCATGCTTTCAGTTGGACCTGGCAGGCAGGCACAGGGGTGAATCCACTGCTCGTCCCAGCACTCTCCATGACTTCCACCGCAAACCCGCTGGCCATGGAAGGATTTTTTGTATAAATTTAGACCCACTCCAATCCCCAACACGTCCCCCTGTCCATCCTGGGCACCAGGAAAAGCTCCCGAGTATTAAGGCGCCCGTGGGTCTGTTGCTTTCTTTTTATCCCTAAAGCAGTGTTTTCCAGGATTCCATGCTATTTCCCAGACAGTTCTGGGCCACTGGCCTCGGTTTAATCTTTTGTGCGTGTGTGTGTGTGTGTGTGTGTGTGTGTGTGTGTGTGTGTGTGTGTGCAGAGGGCAGCAGAAGGGGTGTTTTCTGTGGAAGGCTCCACTGCATTTGGAGAATATGAAGTCGGTCCCTGCATGGCTCCCGCCTTCTTCCTCTAACCAAGGACCCACTCGTGGGTCTGCGGCATGCCTGAGCCTAGCAGGCCTTGCCCAGGCACTTGGTCCTGGCCTCTCAGTGCACTTGGGTTCTCTGTGTGTACATGCACACCCGCCTCCCGTCCTGATGGTGTCACTGGCGGATACAGCCAGTTGCCGCTCACCTTCGGGGTTAGCCTGGGATGACGCCCGCCCCGCCAGCACCCTGCTGCAGTGGAACCAGGCAGAATGGGGCTGCTGGTCCCTCGAAGCCCAACAGCCAGTCTCCCGACTGAGCAAGACGGCTCTTACCTCCTTTCACTTTAACATGTCCAGTCTCGTGTGAATTGAGCCTCAGTTTGCTTGTCCGTAGTTCATGGCTGGTGTGTTGTGAGCTTCAGCATTCAAACACCGTAGGCTTTTAAAGTGCTGTGAGTTGTCCTTCTCAGGCTGCATGCTGACAGTCCTGTGGCCAGGTCAGCAAAGGACTTGGGTAGACCCTCCCCCTCAAGAAATACCTCAGAGTCACACAGACTCCCTGTTCATTTAGAAATTTTCTTAACAGTGACTAAAATTTCCACAGAAGTTCAGAATTCATCTATTGGATTAGAGTTAAACTTAGAGGGAACCAAAGGACAGGATGATGCGTTTCCAAGGGACTGAATGTCGAAAGGGAAATGTCCGCATCTAGGAGATGGTCAGTGGTTGAAGAAAATAAGGAGACTCATGAATAGGATGTGGAGTAATTTTGAATACATTCCATGGAGTCTCAGGCAAAATATGTGTACTTCTTTCCAAGAACTACTTTCCAAGTTCTGTTAGAATAGTTTGTGAGCCCTATCCAATCTACAATCAATAAACAGCTGAGCCACAAGTGACTTTTAATAGAATAGGATGGCTGGTGCGACACAGGTGGGGAGCCCAGAGGCCCACAAAGAAACAATAAATAAAGCGTAATATTTCAGGCAGGAGGGAGACTCGGGTCTGACCAGGACTCCTTTTTGCTGTGGGCTCAACTGAAGTTTCAAGGCCCCCTAACAGGGCAAGGTTTCAAGGCCCCCCAACATGACACGGTGAGGTAGGTTGGCTCTGACGCTCAGGTGGACAGTCACCATGAAGGACCCTCATACTTTGTCTTTCCTTTTGTCTGCAGGGGGTGCAGCTTTTATTTTCCCAAATACTTCAGTATATCCTGAAGCTACGCAAAGAATTACAACTAGGCCAGGTACGCTAACAGCCCGTGTGATCGCTTCCTTGGGAGACTCCCGGTGTCCTGCTTAGCCCGGGACCCCAGCCATGACCCCCAGCCATGACCCCCAGCCATGACCCCAGGAGCATGTCCCTGCACTGCAATGTAGTCAGGCTTTTCCTAACCCCGCTGATGGGCATCCAAGATTGAGTGTGATTGTGGCCCTCAGAGACTGCAGGAGAGAGGCCACGCTGGGAGTCAGAGCAGACCAGGCCCAGGGTAGGGTCCTGAGGATTTGGGCCGACGCCGAGGGAGAGAACCCTGTACACTGTTTGGTTAGGGGAAGGCTGATGTGCGGTCTGTCCTGTTTGGGGGAAGAGCAATTCCCAAATGAGTAGTGACCGATTCCCTCACTTCATGGGAAGCCGTTTTTCAGAGGCGAAGCATCCGCCATATAGTATTTGCCATACTTGATGTCTTTTCTGAAGATTTAATTAGGTGATTAATGTACATATCGTCCATGCAAAAGTAAACATCTCTCTGATGCCAAGCACAGAGCTGGCCTCTGGGAATGGAGGCGCCATCCCTCTTCAGAAAGCTAGCTTGCACATTCCACTAGGCTTGTGGGTTGGTTGCGTGCCTTGTCTGGCTCTGGCATGGGGGAGCCTTGGTGAGCTGGCAGGAAGGTTTCACGAAGATCTAGGAGATAATTCAGGAGTGTGAACCTGGCACCAGAGACAGCCAAGGACGTGTCAGGTTTTAGGTAAGGCATCAGAGCTGGGGGAGCACTGAGAATCCGGGGCCCGGGGGACCGTGACTATCTCTAAGCCAGCTTGAACATGGAGATCCCAGCTCCAGGGAGTGCAGCAGTCTCACCCGCGCCTGCCTTGGCCCAGCACGCGTGTCTGGTCCCTGTAGACTCGTTCATCCTTCCCTGTAGCAGAGCATGGCATTCTCGTCCTTCCTGCGGGATGCCTCCTCCTCATCTGACCTCCTGTCCTCCTCTGCTCACCTACTTCCGAGCCCCCACTCCAGTCTGCCTTTCTCCTTCTATCCTTTTTTTTAAGTGACCGAGCTCCTGCAAAGGATTATTTATTCAAGAGCTGTGTGGCCACTGTGTTGGCCTCAGCTCAGGGTTAAGCAAGGCTGTCCAGCCCAGGGCCTGGAAGGTCACGGCCCACAGGCTCTGTTCTCCCTCCCCCGTCACATCCATCTCTGGCCGTGCTTGTTAGCTTTGCCTTCTGTAGTTCTGGATGGAGACCGTAGCTCCTTCACTCACGTTTGTTGAGCAAGCGTCTAGACGGGTCCTCCACTGGCCCAGCGTGTGCTCTGTGGCTGGGCGGATGCTCTGTTCTGATGGCCTGTGCATCTCTCAGGGCGATCTGCAGTTACCACCCCAAGCCCTTCTCCCCACCTCCTCTGCGCAGACCAGGCTCCTCTTGAGCCCACGGCCCCGGAGTGTCACCATCAGGGACTGGCGCTGGCCAGGGAGCCCTAGTAGGCGGCTTGTGGCCTCGCGCTGTGCCCCCCAGCCTGTGCGTGCGAGTTGCTCATGGAAATCTGTGTTACCTGGGCGGCATCACACAGGCCCTTCCTCTCCTCCCCCATCACTGAGGTAGCCCTATGGGGCCTGTAGAGCAATACACAGCTGGGCGTTACCAGGAGTAACTGTGTGTGTCACCACACAGCTGTGAGGGGAGGGAGAGCCTGCAGCTGGTGCCTTCTGGGGGATTCCTTCCCGGAACCCCGGAAGTCCGTGCTGTTGAGCATGACTGGGCAAGCCGAGCTGCAGCTGCTGCATCCCTCGGTCAGGTCTATGCAAACCTCCGACCTCAGCAGCTGCCTGATTGCACGCTGTGCCTGTCCCAACTCCTGTACAGCACAGAGGTTTGTAAGCATAGTTAAAGCCCCAGGATCATGCCACAAACACAGTCTCCATGTGCTTGACTCAGGGTTGAAGAGGAATTTAGAAGGTCTGGATGAAGAAGAGAATGTAGCCCCAATCTGAAAATCACTTCTTTTCGCAGACATTTATAGATGGTTGTGGCGGTGACTCCCCATCTTCCTGCTTTGTCTTCCTCGTTAGCTTCACATGCACGAGGGGAAAGCCCCCGCCAGTGAGCTGAGCCAAGGGAGAAAGCAGCTTAGAACTCATCCCTCACTGGGGGGGAGGCAGGCTCTGCAGGGTCTCTGACATCTCAGAAGAACGTGGTAGGACGGGCAGCATCCAGAATTAGACCCTGATCCCAGCTCCCAGAAAGCACACAAAGCTGCCATGCGTGGCGCCCACCAGGCAGGCTCCCCTTTTCTGTCTCCTTGTTCCTACACTGATCATGGCATATGCCACCCTTCTATGGCTACCCCAAGATGCCCACGAAGTTGCTTTAATATAGTTCAGGTTTTTCAGTCATTTTCAATAGCTATAATAGCAGAGTGAATGCCAGAAAGTGGCCTTCCTATGCCCAAATGTGGGAAAAGCTAACTACTTTGAAGACGATAGCTCACCAGAAATGAACTGGGCGCTAAGCTGCTCACCAAAATGAAATGCAAAACTACGATTTTATTAAAAACCCTGTGTACTTCTATCAGGGAGAGTAGCAAAGGTTCATGGGTAGCGTTCCTCTAAGCAGCCAGGGGTAGACGCATGTGGTGTGGGCTCTGCCACTGCCCTCATTGTCCCTCATTCCCAGAAATTTCCAAGGTCAGCATTTCCCAAGGTCGCGTCCCACAGGAGGGGGCTTGCTGTCACAGCATGTGACCAGTAGCTGATAAGGAAATATTGGCAAAGACTCTCATGAAAGAAAACAAGGCCAGCATATCTGCACGGCAGTGTTTGTGAATGTGTTCATGGGTCCACGCAACCATCCCAGACGCCTGGCTGGAAATCAGACTCGCCTGGTGTTGTTGTTTCCAAGGGTGGGACAGGGGTATTCGTCTTTCCAAGGGTTTTATGAATAAAGAGCATTCAAATGCTGGTTCTAGTGTGACGTTCACGGGCGGTGCTTCAGTGGGTGGCAGCTGACAAACTCCTACCTCCTGGCATTTCCACCTGCGTTCTTCTGAGCCTCCAGTAGACCCCTCTAGAGCCCTCCACGCCTGGCTGTTACAGATTTACACTTCCATCTGCCTAGTTGGGCTAGCGTGCCCGAAGTCCTCATCTCTCAGAATTCTTAAGACAGGAGTGGAAATTTTCTTGAGATGGCTTTTGTTCGCTTTAGCACGCATGTGAATGGCGTCGTCAGACCTTGCCAGAACTCTGGCTTTGCTCTGTGTGTCCAGGATAAGAGTGTGTTCTCAACTCTCACGTGTGTCTTTGCTCAGTGAGCCATGGGACACACTTTGGGAACCAAGGCTCTAGGACACACTTCCACGATACCCTTGGTTGGTGTGCCTGTCTGCCCTGACCTGGGCTGGAAACCTTCTCATGGTTGTTTTTCCTAAGATGGTTTCTGTAATAAATATCTGGCTAACCAGTTTTTGAAAAAGAAATATTGCATTTTATTTATTTGGGGTATGGAGGTGTGTCACACAAGTGGGAGTCAGTCTGCTTATATATACTATATTATATTATATATATATAATATATATATATACATATATATATTATATATATATATATATTAGCAGAGCTGGTTCTCTCCTTCTACCGTGAAGGTGCTGGGAATCAAACTCATGATGGCAGGCTTGGGAGGAAGCACTTTTGCCCCCTGAGCCATCTCTCTGATTTCTTCCCCACCCCCACCTTTATTTTCTTTCCAGTGAAGAAAGAAAACGGCAGCAGGTTGAGAATCTATTCTCGGCATGGTCCCAGGGACGTAGATGAATTCTGGTTGTAAATTGATCGTGGCTACAGAGCCCACCCCCACATGCCTCCCACTCTAAAAGAGCTGTGGGTCCCAGAACGTGCCCCTGAGAGGAGGGCAAGCTATAGCGTAATTCTCAAAAGGAAAACTGTCTGTGTCTCCAAAGCCCGGGAGGGTAGAGTTTCACAGACCACACGAGTCGCAATGCTTTCAGCCAAACAGACTGATTGAATTAAGGCCTCTCTGGGTTGGGTTTCACGTCCTTCTCTTTGGGACAGGAAGGAGGGAAGGGCTCAAGAGCTGTGAGAGTGCCGTGGCTCTCCCGGGCGTGGGTGGAAGCCCGCTGCAGTGCGGGCTCAGGAGGTCAGGGCCCTACAGTAGCACTGGGGCACTGACCTAGACCCATCAACCAAGGTTGTGTTTTTAAATTAATTTAACATTTGCTTTTGTTCCGAGAAAGGGTCTGACTCTGCAGCCCAGACTGGTCTTGAACTTAGGGCAATCCTCCTGCCTCAGCCACCCAAGTGCCGTCATGGGCACGAGCCATCACACTCCAGTGTGTTCTGAGACAGCAGCTCACAGGCCAGGGGACCTCACATATTCTTTGTAACTGAGGAAGACTTGGCGCTCCGGCCCCTGCCTCTGTTTCCCCGCGCGCTGGAACCGCGGGCATGCGCCACGGCTCCTGCATCACAGTGCTGAGCTGGCTGTGTAGTGCAGTCGCGTGTAGCATGAGCACGTATGTGTGCAAGGATAATACGAGTGAGAAAAACAATCCTTCTGGGATGTATTTATGAAAGGAAACTGACTTGACTTAGAAGCTTGACGGTTAGTGACAGAACCTTCCCGGGGACACAGAACTGCGGTTACTAAAATTGTACACATAGTGTGTCATGCAGGCCCCGGCACGAGCTCCATTCTGTGTAAAGCCGGGAATCGTTGCTCAGGACTGTCAGTGTGTTGTAGGCCAGCCATTTCAGTCTTGATTCCTTTTCATGCAGCTCATTTTAGAGAGACACTAACTTCTCTTAGAAAGTGAGAAAAGAGGAGCCCTTTGCCTAGAAAAATAACTAGGCCAATTAAGACTGGCACCATTAGTGGATAAGATTATCAGCGGAAACAGAGGGGAGTGTAGGGAGGCAGCTACTGGAGGATAAGAAAGCAGGTCTCATTTCCAGGAAAAGTGCAGAAACAGGAGCATGAAAGTGGAGGGTGGATTTGGGAGATTCCAGGCAAGAATGCGTGGATTAAATCAGTTATATCAGTGAGCCCAGATGAGCCCCAGTGACAGGGTGCTTCAAACGACAAGGGGAACAGCGAGAGGACAGTGTCCAAGGCTGGCCTCTCCAGCCTCCACATGCCTGGGTACCTCCATATAAGTAATGCATATGTAATACACACACACACACGTCAGCAAGCAAGGTCTAGAATCTACCAATGACAGTTTTCAGCTAAATGGAGAAGAGAATTTTAGATGAATAAAACATAGTATATAAATATATATTTATACATATGTATAATACTCAAAGTGCAATTCACAGGTAAAGCCAAAGCTGAATTTCTGTTACTTTTGAATTTTTACTTACTCTAAGAAACAAAATAAACCTGTTACAAGTAGCAGCAAAAGTAAGTGTGTGTGTTTTAGTCCGTGTATCTGTTTCTTACAGATTTACCTTATGACGTTCCCAGGAGACCAGCCTGGACTGGCCACAGCCACCCCACCCCTCAGTCCAAAGGTACAGGCTCAGTCCCCGCTGCCTCGACTTGCACATCACAAGGCAGGGGTGACGACAGCCAGGGGAAAGCGTAACGTCAGTCCTCCCATTCAGGACAAAACACTTGTGATCTTTAAGCAGGAGGAGCCTTTCTGTTTGAGATGTAACCCTCTTCATGGAAAAAGTAATTCTCACTGAGGACAAAGGCAGGATTCGAGGGATGTTTACACGCAGATGAGCTAATTGCTGGTTTCCTTCACGGCAGCTCTCCGTGGCTTCGCTTCTTCCCTGACACGTCCCCGTGTCTATTTATTTTACACCGCAGTGCATCTCCCCTCTCTTGTAAGCCAGCTCGAATTTCTCTTTACTGTATTTAGATGCAATGGCTGCCGGAGATTGTTTAAATCAGGGGGATGTTTCAGAATGTTTATACCCGACTTTATTGGAGGGAGCAGTTTCTTCTTACCACAGATGCTTCTTGTTGTAGTGACATGAGCGTGCTGACAATGAGTTGTGAAGTGAACAGCGTCGAGGATGCGCAGCCTGATCTGGTTTGTGGCTAACGGTCCTTTCTTATTCTTGGTTTTCAGCTGCCCAGCCGTCTCCCTCCACAGTGCCCAAGACGGAAGACCAGCGTCCTCAGCTAGGTGCGTTTCAGAAACCATCCTGTGAACCCTAAAAAGGGTTCTAGGCTTAGCCAGGCTTCTCTAGAGTGTGTCAGCTTCTCAACGAGCTCCTGAAGTGTCATGTCTGTAAAGTGATGTCAACACAACCAGTTGCTCAGATTTTACTAAAATCCCGAGACTTTACTGAAACTTCGCTAGAGCCTCTGAGTTGAGTATGGGCATACTATTCTCTCCGCATGAAGGCTGTGCCCTTGGGATCCATTGATTCTGTTACTTGGCTTTCTATGCGTACCCTAACACCCATGTCCTTTAAGTCTAAGAGAGCAAAGCAGTGGACTGCTGGCCTCGGACAGCCTGGCCCTTTCCGCCCCAGGTCCAGCTTTGTCCACTTAGATCCCGGGTCAGTTGGACTGTGGGATGGTGGTGGAATCCGGGACATTTTCCTACCAACTCTGATGCTTCAGCAAGAAAGCATTCTGAGACCTGTGTCGCCGTTCTTACCTCGTGGAAGAGGTAGAGGCACGAATCTGGGCAGGGGACATCTTCACCTCCGTAAGCACAGCTCTGTCGGCCTGACTTGTCTTCCTCTACCGCAGATCCTTACCAGATCCTGGGACCTACCAGCAGCCGCCTCGCTAACCCGGGTAAGTCGCCACCTGTGACCTGCTCTGCAGTTACTTTTGAGTCGGGAGCAGTTTCAGAAAGAGAACTCACCGTGGTGAGAGCTTCTCCAACTGAGAAACATGGCTTTTCCATCGCATCCCTCCAGACTACTTTATTCGCCTCCTTTGAGAAAGTGGATCAGATTGTAAACTAGGATTTTAGCTTAGCAAGGAAGGTTATAACCTAACCAAATGCAGACTGTTGCTCTTGGGTCATCGCAGCAAGCTAATACAGTGTGAGTGTGGCCTCGCGGCACCGTGCGCTGGCTCGTCTCTGGAGGTGGAAGTCGGAAGCTTCTGAGTTGTGAGGAAGGGGTCTGCTCTGGGCCTTTCTCCATGGCTTGTGGATCATCTCCCGTGTTTGCTTTTACCATCTTTCCTCTCTATGCTTCTGTGTCCAGACTTCTCCGTGTGTGTGTGTGAGTGTGTGTGTGTGTGTGTGTGTGTGTGTGTGCGTGTGTTCATGCACACATGCACACACACTGTCATGGAAACAAGAGGACAGCCTTGGTGGTAGGATGTCAGTCCATCCACACCTGTACTATCTACCCTTTTGTTGTTGTTCTTTTAGACAGGCCTCAAGTTCTGGAGTAGGCTAGAGCAGCTGTCCAGTGAGTCTGCCCCTACCCAGGGGTCTGTCTCTGCCTCATGATATGCTGTGCTTGGCTTTTTAAAGTCCAGGTTCTGAGGATCAGGCTCTGAGACATCTCAGTCCTGGCCTTTCCCTTTTTAAACAGACACCAGCCAAGCTGTGGTGCGGGCTTCTGTGGCCCTCTCTGCTTTGGTCACCTCAGTGAAATCCTTGTCTCTAAAACAAGGGTTACTGGGAAGGGTCGAGGGGGGGCAGAGTTCAGTATATGAGCTTTAGGGGACAGGATTCAACCTGTCTCCAAGCGGATTCAGTAACTGGTGCTTTAAAAAGATAATCTCAGAACCCTCAGACTCCAGCTGTGGTCATATGGGAGGGTGTTTCTAAATCAGGCTCTTCAAATACCTGTCCTCACGTTTTGGTACCGATGGCTTGTTCCATTTGTTGGCATTCAGATCAGGACCAGCTATGCTGGCACGGCCTCAGGGTTTCGTGGCATCTGCTTCATATTCTCAGCTGTAAATACGATGCCAGGATGTCATGGCCACGCTGCAAGTACAGGCTGGAATTTCTATTTCACAAGCCTTAAGCGGAGCAGGGCTTAGAAAACACAAAACTTCAGATGCCATCATCACTCACATCCCCACAGGGGAATCAACAGTGCAAGGACATGGAATACAGTTCTTACTGAACAAGAGACTCTGCCATGAAATTGTGACTAATGCTGACTAACTCAGTAAATGTGCTCAAAGCAGCCCTGCAAACACGGATGATGTTTTCCTAATTGCTTTATCTCGGTGCCCAGCACTGGTCCGCTCACCCGCGCATCCGGGGAAGGCCAGAGACAGTTGGGCCCAGAGCCATTACCTCTTGGAGAGATGGGCACAGGTAGATATGATGCTCTGAGGCCCGTGGAGTCACAGCCCATTGACTGTTCTGTGACCAGCCACTTAATGAACAGGATCTCACTCCATGTGCTCCTTTCAGCCTTCTACTTGTACCTGGGTCATGGCCCAGTTAGAGCTTATAGCGGCCATGAGGCTGCAGAGATGGGTCAGTGGGCCAAGCGCATGCTGGGCAGTTGTGAGGACTGAGTTTGAACCCCTGGTACTATGTATCAGATGTGTAGGACCTGTGTGTTTCCAGTCCTCCGTTGCAAGAGGGGAAGCAGAGACCCTCAGGGCCTCCCTGGGACAGCTCGGTGTGCACAGCTAAGAACAGACAAGGTGGAAGGCAAGCAGGACACCCAAGCTTATTCTCATACACGAATACACGTATACAGCCAAAGACTGCACATGGCTGTGTTCGGAGGGCATGACAGCAGGCTCTTCACACCCTGTGATGTAGCACGCTGGAAGTGCCCACGCCATGTGTGAGCACCTCACGGGGCAGGCTTAATCCTATGGCCCCCGCTAGGCTGTCTGTGGCCCAGGAGAGGAGTCAGGGATCTTGAGGTCTGCAAGCACTTTTCTTGGGTCACAACCAAACAGAGAGGAGGCTCAGTCTGGAACCTGAGTGTCCCTTCAGTTTGATTTTGTTTGGGGTGAGGAAGATGAACTTGGAGTGAGGAGGGAAGCTTTAGAATCAGGAGCTGTGGATAAGAAAGGAGACATTTTTATTTAGTTGTATAGTGGCTAAGGATGAGCCTGAAGAAGCTAAGGAAGAGGAGGAGAACAAGAAAAAGGAAGGACAGAAAGAGGAAGAAGGTAATAAGGAGGGGCAAGTGGAGCAGGAAAGCAGGAAGCCGCATTAGGTGAGACCATGTCAGCCTTTCACTCATGTCCATTTTTGAGATAAATGCCCATTTTTGTTTCCGTGGTCACAGCTCAGCTTGTTTGGAAAAGGGAGTCATTTTCCCCTAAGCTATGTACCCTTTTCCAGAGTGCCCCTTCTCCTCCTGCGGGCTGCAGCCAGGAGGCTTTCTGTGGATAAGGATGCCATGTCAGAGTTAGGAGACAGAAACATACCTGAGACCTCAGAGCAACACCCCAAAGCATCACAGGTCTGTGGCATGGTGCCCAGTGTCAAGGATGACGACGTTTCCTATCTTGAGACCATACTTGCTGGGCCTGGAACTGTGACAGAATTCAGCCTTTGATTGGCAGTCAAGAGACTGCAAGGTGCAGATGGGCTTTAGTTAGTTCACAAGGAGCGACAGCTCCCTTCATGCATCCCGAGGCTGGAGCCAACTGATTCAAGTAGCCCTGACACCACAATGTCCCTTTCTCTCATTTAGTGAGAATGCTCCTTCTTCCTGTTCTCCAGTAAGTAAATCTAGTAAAACCTCAATGGCTTCTAGCTATCAGGAAAGCTGAATCACAAGTTCAAGGCCAGCCTGAACAACTTAGCAAGATATTATCTCAAGAGAAAATGTTAAAAGAAGGCTGGGGTATGCCTCTGGGCACACAGCTCAGTTGTAGAACACTTAACTACTATGTTCGAAGTCTTGGGTTCAGTCCTCAGTACTGCTCCCCACCCAAATTTTATTTAAAAATTCAGAGGTGTTTTTTTTTTTTGTTGTTGTTGTTGTTGGTTTTTTTCTTTTGTTTTTGTTTTGTTTTGTTTTGTTTTGAGTTTTCAGTCTTTTCATCAAACCCTGAACATGAATGCAGAGTCAGGAAAAGAAGAGCAGACACAAAATACCACCTAACACATTTCTAGAAAATAACAAATCCCTTTACGTGTTTACCTTAAATGTATCTGATCTTAACGTATCACTAAAAGGACACCAACCAGTGGACTGAATTAAGAAGCAAGGACCAACTATATGCTGACTCCAAGAAACCCACTTAGCCAGCAAAGATAACTCAGAACTTACTATCAAAGGATGGAAAACAAGCTGCCAAGCACACAGAACACATAAAAAAGCAGGCGTAGCTACGTATACCAGACAAACTAAACTTCATCTGACACTAGTTAGAAGAGAATCAAAGAGGAACTACATAATAATAAACCGATGAAAAATTCATTAGTTGTAAACTTCTGTGCACCAAATAGTGGAGCCTCCAATTTCATAATACAAACACTGAAAAACATGAATGGCCACATGGATCCTGACACAGTAACAGTGGGAGCCTCAATTTTCTACTCTCACGTTTAGATAGTTCTTCCAAACTAAAACCAAGACACTTCATAATTCAAATGTGCTATGGATGTGTGTGTGTGTGTGTGTGTGTGTGTGTGTGTGTGTGTGTGTGTGTAGACATACACACATAAAGAATAGTCCACCCAACAGAAAGGGAACATACCTTTTTTTCTGAGCATCATGTAGAACCTTCTTCAAAATCTTTTTGTCCATTTTTAATGCAAAGGCTTTGTCATGCAGTATGATTTTTGAGAAGTGTAAGTGTACGTGCCCTGTGAGTTTGTGGGTGGCATATTTATGAAGGCTCCCTGGAAAGCCAGAGGAGAGTGATCTCCTTCAGCTGCAGTTATAGGGCATGAGCTGCCCAACATGGAGGACCAGCCAACCCTTCTAACTGCTGACTCATCCCTCAGGGCCTCATCACATAACCCCAGCATCTCCATCCCAAACATGCACTGGATATGTGCTTAACACTTACTTCTCCTGCTGAGGAGGTGTGTCCTGGCATCCCCACCTCATGGATCAGTGATGAGCCACCAGCCCCTTTACTTTCCATCACAATCGCTGAGCACTGAACTTTTGTGATGGACTCCCCGTTCCTCTCTGTGGAAAAGCTTTTCTTGAGTTCTGTCCAGTGGCCAGGCATTTTGTAATGGTGGGTGTGGAGATGCAGCCAGCTCCTTGTGAAGGGACAGAGCCATTTCAGAGAAGATTGGCCAGTAGTTAGGCTGTGGCATGTGTTAAGGCGAGTGCCCAAGAGAGGACAGCCTGGGAAGGGCCAGGAGGCTGCAGGCATGTCCTGAAGGACTGCTCTGTGTAGGGCAGAGACTATCAGCCTGAAGTTTGACCTCTGCTGACCTTGGGCATAAAGGTCAGTCCACCCACATGCACCCCATTTTCTCAGCTCTCCTGTGGGCTAAACATGATCTTTCAGGGCCTAAACACACGGTCAGATGTGAGCATTGGCAGTAGTGCCCCAGCGAGCCTCAGGAGGAACATCCCACCCTGAGAGGAAGTGCAGTCCAGGCTTCGGCCTGGCCAGCGTGGTGGTCCTCCGTAGTCGGTCGGCTGCCTTTGTCTACTTCTGGCCTGTTGGTGAGAAGGACATTGGACTCACAGACAGGCAGCTGTCCCTACCTGGTCCCTGTATGGCTTCTGGGCGTCTGAACTCCAGTCCTTATTTTTGCATGGTGTGCTGTCCCCCAGCCACCCACAGTGTATGATTGGTCTGGCTGGTGAGTGACCTGGGTCTCACTTAAACCAGCCTGAACCCTCATCATACTTCTTGTCAGGGTCTACAATGGGCCCATCACACCATGGACATTACAGTGTGGGTGTTAATAAGCAATTTAATACATTGCTTTTGAATTTTTGGCAAACAGTATCTCATTTAATTTACCTGGTGGTGATTCCTTGGTTCTCCTATCCGCATCATGTCTTTCAGCACTCTTGATCAGTGAGAACACCCGTGGCCTAAGCCAGTTAGAGATGCCTATATGCTGCTGTGAATAGTGTTTACCTAAGAGTCTGTTGATTTTTGCAGCTAGTTTCATTTTCGGGTTTGGAGGCCAGTGGACTTTGCTTCTAGTGCTCTTCTGGGAGGCTCAGCAGGCTTGGCCTCAGCCCTGAGCCTGTGTCTTCCCAGCTAATAAGCAAAGTAAAACAGCCTGGGGCAACGTGAGCAGCTCTGTGCGCAGAGCTTTGAGTTTCCAGCCATGCCTGTAAGGCCTGCGTGTTCTCTGGCTCTTTAGCAGCGAGGGAAACAGCTCCTACAAATGTTAGTAAGGGAAGTGGGTGAGGGACAAATTCCCAGAGACAGTGCCAATGTTTGAACAGATGCCAACTGTTGTCTTGTCTGTGGATTTGTATGAAGTCTGTAGGGTGGCTCTCTCGGTATGGGAGGAAGTTGACACTAAATATTTATTTTCCAGCAACTGTCCATGTTTGGAGGGAGGCATATGTTAGACTGTTAAATCCAAAACCCACAGCTTCTCCTATTCCCAGGTCATATGTGGAATTCTTTTTTTCAAGTTTTAATCCTTTGGTTACAATATATATACTAAAACCATATGGTTCTCTTGTCCCAGCCTTTCTATTTTTCAATGCATATTAATGAGATGTTGGAGGCAACAGCCCTTGATTGAGAACAGTCTGTATGTGCAGCTCCGAAACAGCACAAGCTTCCATTCCGACAAACTACAAGCTGTTAATACATTTCAAATGTGCCGCTTGACTGAAAACAACCCTTCCCAGAACATGGTCGAAAGAGGCTGACCTTTCTCACGGTGCTGTTGCATGGGTGGGTCTCAGACCTTCATTCCCATGTAGGCCGAATGGAAACAAGGCCTGGACAGTGTGCAAAAAGGCTGTGGGGAAGGGTTCAGAGAAAGCAGGTCCATAATTAAAACTTACATTCCATCAATTCCCTGAGTGGATGGCAGTCAGAGGTACTCCAGTCATTGGTCATATCAAGTCATATTACCCAGCTTATCATAAAGGTTAGCATTTCTGGTAATGAGCCCAGGGCGCTGTGTCACCCTGGCATCTGGGGAGAGAGCTCTGCCTCCCCCTCCCTTTAAAACTAAAATCGTAACTTTGTTTCACCTGGTATCCAGCATAACTATCACTCAGGATAGACAGGGACCAGCACCAACTAGACAGACCTGGAGTGTCCTTCTGTCCATCTGGCCCTTAGTTTCTGGGTGTGGCTATGTTCTTGTCCAGGTTTCTCTCAGGGGGCGTGAGCCCAGGGGCAGAGCGGAGCAGCGATGAAGGAGGCAGGAGGACAGCCTAATCCAGGCCTGTTCCCTTTACAAATCCGGGATACCCCTGGGGCAGGGCAACATGGTGGCTAGAATGATATGCTTAGACTCTCCTCCTATTGAAAAGACGTGAGAGCTGGTTCCGTCAGTCGAATGCCCATGTTACAGACTCATGTTCAGGAGCTGAACATGATCTCCAGAACGCTGGTAAAAGAAAAGAAACAAACAAAAACTCCTCAGTGTGTTTATGAGCACTGATAATCCCAGCAGTGTGGGTGTGTGGGCTCTTGTGGCTCACAGGCCAGTAAGGCTACGCTAATGGGTAAACTCCAAGCCAGCAAGAGAGCCTGTCCTAAACAAGCAAGGGGGGAATGATAGCAGAGGTCACACCCACACACGCACGCACGCACACACAGCATGAGATCATCTGACTGAGCAGGGTCTCTTTGATTCCTAAGAGTGCTAGCCATGGCCTCTTGTCCTCAAGGAGGACCATGGCACAACTGCCTGGCACTCATGGTTCATGGGTTCCTGCCCCAGTACATTTGGCCCAGGCTGGAAATGGTTGATCTGGTTTGAAGCAGAGCCAGAGCTTTTCCCTCATTTGGAGCCGGTGAGTTCTGTGCTAGGAAAAGCTGTGACAGCGGTGCCCTCTGAGCAGCAGATGTCATGTTAGAAATAACAGTGTTTGCTTCCAGTCTCTGTTTGCTTTTCCATAAATGTGCAGATGTCCATTTCCTAAATCTGACTTTTGTTATTTCACCTGACCCAGCCAACATAAATGGTATCAGGCCATTATTGCCATCTGCAAAATGGCCTTTTCTGTCTCACCAAATGGGAAAAAGTAGCTCATTCATCCCCCAAAGCAGGGTGAGCTGGTTGCTCTTGAAGAATGCTCAGAGTGGAAGGAAACTGCCCCAGCTTTGCCCTGTGTGTGTTCTCCACTCTGTGCGTGGAGAACTTGCATCTCTGAGGCCACCCTGAGAGTGACCAGGGACCGCCATGTAAGGTCAGGAGTCCTAGAAGTGGGACTGAGACAAGGACGCTGGGGGAATGGTCCCTTAAGGCTCCATTCTCAGGAGCAAGCAGCACTAGGAAGGAGGGGTGCTACGGAGCCTTCTGGCTTTCCTGAAGCTGAGCCATCGTGTGCCAGCCTGAGGAGCGCTGGGCACAGCAGCGCTCAGAATCAGAGTGTCCCGGAGGTCCTTTCATCAGTGTGGTCTGGGATATCTGGCTTTGGACCATTTCCCGTCCAGCCAGGGTTTGCGCTCTAGAGAAGCGAGCAACCAAGGGACAAATGTAGCAGCATCCCGGAAGCAGAGCTTCGGGGTGGGGGTTGGGGCCAGAGCTGGGAATGGCGGTCCTGTGCTTGGCTCTCATGGGCTCTGTGTCCCCTCATCAGGTAGTGGCCAGATCCAGCTGTGGCAGTTCCTGCTGGAGCTTCTGTCCGACAGCTCCAACTCCAACTGCATCACGTGGGAGGGGACCAACGGGGAGTTCAAGATGACGGACCCGGACGAGGTGGCTCGGCGCTGGGGTGAGCGAAAGAGCAAGCCCAACATGAACTACGACAAGCTGAGCCGCGCCCTGCGCTACTACTATGACAAGAACATCATGACCAAGGTGCACGGGAAGCGCTACGCCTACAAGTTCGACTTCCATGGGATCGCCCAGGCCCTCCAGCCCCACCCGCCCGAGTCTGCCCTCTACAAGTACCCCTCCGACCTCCCGTACATGGGCTCCTACCACGCTCACCCCCAGAAGATGAACTTTGTGGCCCCCCACCCGCCAGCCCTCCCGGTCACGTCCTCCAGCTTCTTCGCCGCCCCAAACCCATACTGGAATTCGCCCACCGGGGGCATCTACCCGAACACACGGCTCCCAGCCAGCCATATGCCCTCTCACCTGGGCACCTACTACTAGAGACCAGATGGATGCCTTTCCCAACCGTGCACAATTACCCAGCAGTCACCACAAACTCAGAGAACACACATCAGAAGTGCCTCATGAGGGATGCAAAAGGTTGACCAGAGCTGGGGAAGGAAGCCGGGAGAGAAAACCAAAGACTGACAGGGGAGGGGAGGAATTGCCCTAGTATTACTCAGAATAGAGGAAGCTCAGAGTACAGTGCCCATGGACATATAACCTGCGGTCCACCCTTGTCAAAGACATCACATAGAGAAAAGCGTGACATCATAAAGACAACTGCCAAAGAAAGTGGCCTTAAGGAGTGTGCAAACTGTAGAGGGTGGGACCTTCCTTGTACAACCAGGATTCAGTGAAAGCAAGAGACAGAACAGAAACAATCTTGGCCTAACATACCATGGATAATGTCATTTGAAGGGAAACTACCTGTGTTTAAAAATAGAAACATATCAAAACCAAATAAGAAGACAAGATGGCGGCCACTCCATAGACCACATTGGTTGTGGATTTTCTTGGCTGGCATTTGCTGTGTTGGTTGAAATCAGATTTGTTCCATTTGATAGAGACCTACCAGCTCTGTCAAACTGTGAAGATGACCCAAAGTCTCATCTCCTTTTCAGTATTACAGGAACTGTGAGCCATGTGGTGGGCAGGGAATGTGTGTGGCGTGTGAGCATGTGATTATAGAGAAACGACTGAAGGAGGACGAAGGAGAGGAGAAAGGTTCAGGGAGAGGAGGAGGAGGAGAAAGCAGAGGAGAAGGAAGGAAAGGAGGAGAGGTACAGGGAGAGGAGGAGGAAGAAGAGGAGGAGGAAGCAGAATAGGAGGAAGGAGAGGTTTGGGGAGGGAGTGGGGGAGGAAGGAGAGGAGGAGGAAGAGGAGGAAAGTAGTAAAAGGCAGCTGCTCAAGCCATCAAAGCTGAATTTAGGACCAAAGAGCATGAGTCATGCTCTCTGATGCTGCCAGTGTTGAGGGAAGGGACAGTTTTATGGAAGACTAGGAGAAGTAGTATTCAGAACCAAAAATACATCTCTTTGTGAAAAGAAAATCATAACTGGAATTGTCTGATATTTAAAAAATGTTCAGGACCTCACCATTCGGGGGAGGCTTTATTCTTCATGGGGGCCATGGAGAGGTGAGCTTCGTGGCCACCACGGTCTCAGGCTGCACAGGCATTGTGGGTAGGCGGGCTCCAGTTTTCCTTAATGAGTCGCGAACGCTGTGCGTTTGTCAGAACGAAGTCTACAAATCAATGGGTTTTTTTTCTTTTTATATAATAATTATGTAACTTATGCATTTATACACTACGAGTTGACCTCGGCCAGCCAAAGACACACCACACACAAAAGACAATCAATGATAGAATGTGGCCTTGAATTTTAACTATGTACTGCTTAATGTTTACAGTATGTTTACTAGTTCTTAGGATGCAGAATGTATGCAATAAAATGAGGTTGGCCTCTCGAGGTGAACCAGAATGGTGGTCTGAGTTTCCCCTTCTTTGCTGAGGAATGTTGCCCAGCAGAAACCTGAGCTGAATCTTAAGGGCTCGTGTTATAGTCTTATTTTGTCCAAGAAGGTAAACAGATGGGACATGTACCTCCTGACTCCCAAGAGCCCACTCTGTCATTTTCATCCACTCCAGAAAGAACAAGGTTTCACGCCGGGGCCACAGTTGTTCCTGGCAGGTGAGGATTCCAGTTACGCACTGGCCACTGTTTACCCAGGTCACTGTCTCCATCCTTGAGGTTTTGTTGTGTGATGAACAAAAGCCGTTGTTCGTTAAACCAAACTTTGTTATTGCTGGTAACTCAGTCATGGACTGATTTGTCCTTACAAGGGATCGGGGAGGGCCCAGGAGATGGCTCAGCCACTAAAGCCTTGACAGCATGAGGACCTGAGACATCCTAGAAGTGACATGTAGACAGTCAGGTGTGGCGGCCCACACTTGTAATCCCAAGTGTGGTGGGATGGCAGACGTGGACTCCTGAACTCACCGGCCAGCTGGTCTAGCCTGCTCTGTGAGCTTCCAGGCCAATGAGAGCCTTCTCTCCAACAGCTGTGGAAGGGTCCCGAGGACTGACACCCAAGGTTATTTATGTTCTGACCTCTTTGTGCGCACACACACACACACACACACACACACACACACACACACACACAAGCCCTGAGGCACAGCTTTCAAGCTTGCAGCTTGGCTCCCCTGAGGACTCCTCAGTTACTATCACTCTAACAATAAAATGAGGTTGGCCTCTCGAGGTGAACCAGAATTACACTCTGGAATCCTCTGAAGACCCTGGCTTTCGAACCCTCAGCCATGGGGCGACCTTCTCATTGTCCCTTCCTAAACACTGCGCTTTCTGTGCTCACAGTTTCTCTGGGCATCTCTTGCCTTCTTCGTGTTACCAGTGCCACCCACCCGGGGCAAGGAGACGTGGCGTGGGGTGTGGCTCACACCGTCTGCTGTGAGCAGGGGGCCCAGGCCCCTCCAGGCCTGAGTCAGACTTTAAATCACTATGTCTTATGAGCTGTGTCAGGTTGTGGCCGTTCTGGGACTCAGTTTGCACTTTGTAATCCCTTTGCTATGACTCAGTGCGCTTGCTGTGCCTGCTGGCAGCTGTCCGTGGACTCAGCAGGTAATGATTAGCAAAGCTTCAGAGGCCACAGTGCAGGGCTTGAGAGGAGGCCAGACGTCAGTCAGCCCGAGGCAGCTTGGGGAGGCCACACATGGCCTGCATAGCCCCGGGAGAAAAGACAACAGAGCCTCAGTGATGGCTGGGGGACGGGGGGACCCCATGGGCCTGGGGGAAGATGAACGATTTGGGCTTGCAATGCAGAGCCAGGGCACACCTACGTTCTTCCTATAACGTGCACATTTATTTGGATAGTTGCTCAACTCGCCCCTTTCAAGCCCCAGTTGTGAGTGAAATAATAGAAACAAGCCACGGCCGTTAGCTTCTGTCCTAACATGTTTCAGTCAGGTCCCTCGGGCCTCCACTCCGTGTCCCGCACACATGGGTTTTTAGCAAGCACAGGGACCAGCCTGAGCAGCTGATCATTTGGGGATGCCGTGGTAGCTCTGGTCCTCTCGAGTGACTGAGCCTTCAGTCATCCCGGACTAACGTGGAGGTCAAGATCTCGGTCTGCACTAATGGGGTTCCAGGATGCCCTTCGCCCCTCTGTGTCTGCCTCTCCCTCAGTGTGTTCCCTGCATGCACCTCCCAATGGCAAGCCACTTGCTGGATGCAGTCAGTCCCCAGTCTCAGTGGACACTTGACCCTGGCCCCATCCCCCATCCCCCTCCACGCTCCCCACAGCCTCCACCATCTCTGGTCAGATACCTAGCCTCCTATGGGAAGGTTCCAGACGATGAGCTTTGCTGTCTTGTTGAGGGGTTCTGTCTCTCTCTCAGTATCCCTGTGGATGGTGGTGACTCACCCGACCATGAGATCCCAAACAGCTGCCCCAGAGAGCAGGTGCTGTACCTGAGGCAAGGCTGCCACCAGGGAGGCTCAGGTCTGTGCAGGCCAGGCTAGCCCTTCGTGGAGACATGCAAAGGCCAAGGGAAGTTTTATAAATACCATGCTAGATAAATACTATAACGTGTGCTTGGCTGGCAGAGCTGGGTCGCTGGGGTGGAGGGCTGTAGTCCTACCTTTTCTTTTGCTTCTTCTGGTCGCCTTGTCACTGTACTAGGCAGAGCCAGGCCACTCCCCATTCTGGACTGAAGCCGTGAGACCCGGCGCATCCTCTCCTAGGCTGTTCTGTCCCGTGGAGGTGTGGCCTGCTGGTGGAGCACTGGCGTGCATGCTCGGGCTCCAGGCTCACACAAGGCTCATGGGTAGATCAGGTGTGCTGGGGTTGTCACCCGAGTCCCAGACACCTAGACGTGGGCCTGAAGAACAGCCCATGGGAAGGATACGAGGGTCAACAAGAAGTAGGCCAGCACGGGGGCATCCACGCACCGACCAGGCACACCTCATGTCTTGGGAGCGTTTATGCGTTCATTTTGTCTATGTTTATGGGTGTTTTCTGGCATCTGTGTGCACATCACACGTGTGCAGCACCTGTGGAGGCGAGACGAGGGTTTTCAATCCCCTGGAACTGAGACAGTTGTTACAGACCATGTGCATGCTAGGACCGGGGCCCCAGCTCCTGCCAGAGCCGTGAGTGTGCCATCCCCCCACTCCTCTCCTGAATTTAACTGTCAACCTGATAGAGTCACATGAGAGGCTATGAGCCTGCGGGCACACAGTAGGAGCTTATCCTGATTGCCTGTTGATACCAGAGGGCTCAGAGGCCGTCCTGCCCATGTGAGAAGCTCGCTGGCCGTGAAGCTCTGAGCGGGCCAGCAAGCAGGCTGACCCACGACACCTGCTGTGCCCACTGCTAGGAAGATGTCCCCCGTCAGAGCTGACGGTGCTTTGGGCCCGACTCAAGGGTCCCCAGGGATGTGCCTGGAAGCCGGTGTAACCTAGCAAGACTGTTCCTCCACACACCACATTCGGGAAGAACACTTCCCAGAGCAGAGCAGCAGAAGGGTTGCCGGAAGCTGGTGCTGCCTTCGAGAGTCTTGCACGGTTCCCGACACTGCTGTTCACACTTACTGGGTTTACTCTTCAGGATCTCATGAGCACTGTGCTCACTTCCGTCTGTCCTCTACCTAAGTCCTCTCACATCCTCCCCATTCCCTCATCATGACCTCTTAATGGTAAATCACACACACACCACACCACAGTATACCACGCACATGCTCACACCCCACACACCTGAGTTCCCCGAGTTTTGCTCGTATGTTTAAGGCTGACTGCCTGGCCTTAGCTAACCCAGCACGGCCTGTCCCTGGAGAGACCGGGTTCCCCTCGCTCAGCAGCTGTTCCCTGCCTGGACATGTTCTGGGTCTTGTGAACTTCCTGCCCTCTGTGCTGATGTACCCCTGCTACGGTCCTGTGTGAGCGTGCGTAGGCAGCCATGTTGCTGAGAATTCACAGGCGCAGCACCCTGGGACGTTCAGAAGACGCTGTCTGGCAGCAGGATTCCAGCTGCCCCGCTCTCCAAGCTCCCTGCCTCAGGTGTGTGGCTTGTGATGCACACATAATCAAGGGTGTCGGGGTGGGGGGTCACCATCAGTTTTTCTCTGCGTTTTGCTAGTTCACTGGCTTTGTATGGTGGTCTTCCGAGAGGCAACTGTTTAAAGCAGCCTAACAGGTCTTGCCATCTATCTGGGCCTCCCGGGGTCAGAGGGAAAGCTAAAGTGTGTCCACCCAGCTTCACACTGGTCAGCTTCACACTGACCTGAAGCCAGCAGAGACGCCCTTCCGAGCGTCAGATCACTGGTATCAGCCAGCCGCCCAGGGCTGCCACAGCTCAGGGCAGTGGCCGTGCTTACAGTGAGACTCGTGTGCAAGGCTCCAGAATGTTCCCAGGTGTTCTTGTGCTTATTGGCTCATGCTACCCAAACCCAGACAAAGATGGGATGCACACCTCCGCCTGCTCAGAGTGCAGGGCCCGGGTACAGGACAGAAGCCGCTGTTGGTGGACCGCTGGGCCCTTTCCCACCCAGCTGGAAGCCTGCCACGCTCGGGCAGCACAGCACACGCTGGGGGTGGCGGTGGGTCGAGGGCCCAGTCACAGCTCAGCTGAGAGTGTCAGCCTGCCGTAGGGACCCTCAGCCCTCCTGCAGACTGGCCGCTCCTACCTCGGAGTGGGCAGAGGAGGCCGAGTGAGAGCCAAGGCTGCCTTCCCACGAGGCCTCCGGAAGTGGAGAACAAGACAGGGAAGGGTGCAGGTCATAGGGTGTGTAAACTCTCCTGACCAGCTGTGAGAGCTTGTGTGTGTTTGTTGTATGAGGGCTGTATGTGAATAGGAGTGCATGCGTGTGTGTGTGTGTGTGTGTGTGTGTGTGTGTGTGTGTGTACTTGTCTGTTCAGGTATGTGTGGAGGACAGATCTGATGTCAATGTTTGCTCAGTCTCTTCTTTCTGAGACGGGGTTGGGGCTAGATTAGCACAACCCAATGCCCACCCTGAGTTACAGGTACTCGAGTCCCGCCCAGCACGTCTGCATGGACTCAGGCCTTTGGCCTGTGCTGCAGGCATTCTAGCCTCTGTGTCATTTCCTCGGCCCTGATACAGAGTTCAAGGAAGTTTGAACTAATTTCTGTCTTCCTTGGCAGGGACACCACTGAAAAGGTTGGCGGTGGGCGGGGGTAACCTCTAAGCCTTTTCCTGGTAAGGGAAGGAAAGGAGGAAGTGGGGTGCCCACTTCTTTCCTGTGTTTCCGGCTCTAGGGCTGAGGCCGTGATTCCAGGACATGGTTGTAGGCTATGGTTCCATGTCGTGGCCCTTAGACCACACTCCAGGCCAAGGCTGCAGGCCGCAGTTCCAGCCCACAGTGTCAGGGCAGGGAGCTAACACCGCTGCATTCAAATGGGGCCGGGCTGCTGGTGCCAAGGGAAGGCTGGCCCCAGTCTAAGGAAC